AATTTTTATATTTTAAAACTGAGTATGCAGATTTGTTAACCTTTTAAAAAATAACACAGAACATCTTTCCGATTCGAAATTGATTAATTTTTGGCTTAGTTGTGATATTTGAAAAACTTTGATTTGCCTCAAAATTTAGCATATAAATGGGATGTTATTTTTGAAATAATCTTAATTTCTGTAATTATTTTTTACACCTGTTCCTGCCTATGTGTATTTGTGCAAGTGGTTTTGGTGGGCGGCTGGGCGTGGCTGGCATTAACACTTGTAGTGTCAGTGTCGCATGTCGCCCTGCACGCGAAGCTGTTAAACTAAACTAAATACACGCTGTCTGGATACCCGCATCAGCTCACTCTTGAGTATTTCCCCACACTCTTTCTGTGTCTGTGTGTGTGTTGCGTGTGTGTGACGTACTTCCGGTTCGTTGCATCCACTAACACTTGCAAGCATCCTATTTCCGTTTTAGATATGGCAGAAATGAGGAAAGGTGGAAAGGCAGGAGCAGCCAGCACGCAATTAGAAGTTGCTCAGTTTATATATATTTTATATATACATATATGTATTTTTTTTTACCACTCAACCACTTACTGGAATATGGCATTTCCTGCAGTCAGATATTACACCCTTGCAAATTTAGTCAAGAACTTAGGAGGGGTAAATCTTTTGTGGGAATAGGAACAGAGCCAAGTGACTTTTTATTCCTGTATAAAAATACCATTAGACAAAAAACCTAACACTTTATCCTTTACTCAGCTTTAAGATGAATTCAGGTTCTTGCGAGAGAAATCAATCTGATATTTATGGGCTTCCGATTTGCGGTGCCAGAGCTGGAGAGCGAACTAGGAGTCCGTAAGGATATTGGAGCCGTACTTAGCATACTTATTGGGGCATTTTGTGGTGATGCATTTGCACCGCTGCCAGCTGCAGTCGCAGGACACACACACACAGGCATACACACATCTATGTACGTATGCATTAAACATGATGCAAATGAAAAGCGGAAGTGCCAACCAGCCGGCGAGCGATTTTCACGATGCCACAAGTCAGCGCGAGGAAAATGAAGGAAAACTCAACGCCAACCGCCATTTGTGGTTTTGCATTCGGTCCCCGCATTCGCATTTATTACGCATGCAAAGAATGCACTAAGGAGCGCGTGTTTGCATCGGCAGAGGCATCGGGATCGGCATCCCCGGCGTCTGTTTGAAATTCATGACTTGTTTAGTGCACATGCCGCATAATGTTGCATATATTTTGGCGGTGGCGGTGGCGGTGACTGTGAAGGTGGCATGGTTGCCGCGAGTATATTGCAGCTGCCACTATTTGCTGCTTTTCGTGTTTGGTGTTGTTACTCTTGTTATTGTTCTTGTAGCAATTGTTTCTAAATGAGATGCACCGCAGAAATATGCAAGCAAATATACATACATTTATGTGGAAGTTGCAGGTCATTATTGTTAGGCTTGGGAAATTCGGAAAATTAACAGAGCCTTCATAAGAACCAGAATACAATAAAATTAATTTGAAGCAAGCAAGACATATATTAATAAACTTACTTATATTTCCTTTAATTAATATTTAATTAACTCCCCTGAACTTCTTTCCCTGAACTGCACTGTAGCCCATAAGTGCTACTGTTTTTGGGGCTATATTTATGCCATGCATTTTCGCATAAATGCCAAGTAGACAGGGTTGTGTATGTGCAAGATGTACATTCATAGCTTCGACTTGTTTTGCATGCTAATTGCCTTTGCCGACGAATGAAAGAGACCGAATGCCAAGCGGAGAAAGAGATGGAGAAGACAATTGTGTGTCCCGTCCTTGGTTGCACTCGTAAATTGGTTGCAGGCACTTGATTATGTGCGAAAATGGTTGACAGGATTGTCCCCCTAAATAATTTCATTTAGAATTGTTTAATATTTTATGAGGCCAACGAAAAGTGATTTTAGAAACCCAGTTATGTTAAGTCAACATTTATGGCTTTTGTTATTGAGACGAAAATAAATTCAGTTAGCTTAAGAAAAGATTTTCCAGCTGAGCTCAAAAGTATGCAGCTTGAAAATTCCTTTAACCTTTTCACTAAAAAAATAGAAAATGCAATTTTGATTTAATAAATTTTTTCTTGGAAATGAAATGTTTTGCTAACATATAGTTCGGTGAAGGAAACTTGCTGCATAATTTACTGCAGACAATGAGTCTATGTGTCTGCGTGTGGGTGTGTGGTTGTTATCCCGAATTTCCTCCCAATTTTCCAACCTCCCATTTGCCCAGTTTTGGGGACTAATGGCACTCTGCATATTTCATCATATTAAGTGCCAAAACAACGCATAATCAACTTCCACGGTCCCCCAATGGCCTATTGTTGGATTATTTGGACTCAAATTCGGGGTTTGGGGTAAGAAGCACTCTCCGTCTAACTGCATTAGGCCCTCGCCCTCGCCTTGCCAGCCCTGTCCGCAATTCACAATACACAAAATTCAGCAAACTGAAATTTCAACCAATCATCAATGCAACTGTGCTGGTTAAGTTGCCATCGGTTTCCCATCGCTTACCCATCGGGCGCCCTGCGTTTTCCCGCCTCATTCCACCACCCATCGAGTGCACTAATTATACTGCTAAACAATTTTGTATTTTGTATTTCGGTGGGGCTTTTGTTTATGCGACTAAGCGAACTTTGGGGGCTGGCAGCCCTGAATGCCTCAAATTGGTTGCGTAAACATTTGCCTCGCTGGTTAGATCAAACATCGAGGCATTTACGAAATAGAGTTGTTGGGGGTTTTCAAATGGGTTTAAATTTGTCATTTAATTGGGAGGGAATTTAGCAAAGTGCGAAGTAAAAGTAAAATATTTTATTTGAAACTAACTAAAAGTAAACTAGAAGTTTTGAAAAATTAGTATGTTCTTTGTATTCTTCTTGAGAAATTTTTATTTGACTCTGTTTGCAGAATTCAAATACTAGAAAAGGTAAATAATAGGTGTAAGAAGCTGTACATCTTTTTAAATTAATCTTTACATTGGTATTTAGGTTTCCGAGTTTTAAGACCCAAATAAAATTTCTCTTTTCAAAATTTTCTTAGGAATCCTTTAGTCGAAATGAAAGGCTTTCCCGGAAATTATTTACTTTTTATTTTAAAAACAATTTGGACCGTGTGCATTAGGCTGGTTAAATTGATTTATAGCTACATTTTTGCACCTTTTTTCCCCTAAAGTAAGGTGTTCAATAGTCTAAAAATATATTAAGTAATCCAGCGGTGGTAATTAGTCACATTTGAATAAAATTATCATACATAATTAAATGAAAATGATGTGGTAAAAAAATATACATATATAGATTCACTTCCAGAATGCATTGCTTCGATCATTAATTTTTAAAAATACTTCTATCATCACATAAGGTAAGGTAAACATTCACTTTTCTTAATAAATTGTTGATTGAGGTGCTGTCATCGTATGATGAATAGCTTGCGGTAGATTTTATAATTTTTCTTACATAAAATAATTAGTAATAAACATTTTCCCTGAAATGGAACTGAACACTATAGCTTGGGTAAGCCCTCAAGATTAGCACAAGCCATAAATTCATTTAAGTCCACATAATCCCAGACCATAGAGACACCCACAGTCATAACCATAAAGGCATCCATACATTAGACCAGACATTGCTTGGAATGTGAATTTGCATGGGATGCAGTTATGAATTTATTTATGACTCTCATTCTCCGGATGCTGTTTGCCTGAATCTTTATCGTCGTTTCATGCGTGTGTGTGTCCATACCTTAGTCCTCCTTAGTTTTGTAATCCTTTCGGAGTTTTATTTGCTCACCTTATATATATTTTAACACCTGCCCAAAAATAGTAAAGCTAAAAATAAAGATTTCGTAACACTTTTATGGCAAAACCATTAATTTTCTAAAACAATGCAGAACGCATAACTTGTGTTATTTACAAAACAATGAGTAAAAGTGCAATTTATAAGGTTGCAAGATGGCAAAGGGAAAATTAAACAGATCTTAGAGAGTATACATTCTTCAATATTTTTCGAAAAATACCTTTAAAAACTCTAGATATTTTGGCCAAAATATTCCACTCATAAATGATATTAATTATGGAATTCATTCTCATATTCATTGCAATATGTTTGTTGCTTATTTGCTTCGTTTGGAGAATTTCACCCATTAATTTGCACACTTTTTCCCCATGACAAAATATCACTAAAATTTTATTTCCATTTCGATATTTACGTCTACATTTTTAGGTGCTTCCCCAGGCGCTGCATGATGTTTAATTATTTTTACTGGCCTTTTGGGTGGTCCAAACTTTTTGAATCTATTCGCTCATACCTCCAATCGGATGCGTTTTGTTTATAAAACTCAGCAAAAATAAGTTGAATAAATGAGTGTATAACCATTTGTGATTGAGTAATTGATATTTTTTTGGCTGAGATTTTGGCTATAAATTAAATAAAGAAAAAATTGGAATTGGGGAAAGAAAACCTAAGGAATTCCTAATTCTGCTATTTAAAAGGTGTTTTTTTTTAATAAAAAAAGGTAGGACTAGAATTTTTTTTTTTTTTTTATTACTAACATAAGATCTTAGTTATTATATATTTACATTTTTTGCTTAAAATTCGTTCCATTGAATCATTTCAATCACCATGTCGACGTATGCAAAACATTAAAATTGACTCTCGCTGAATCATTATCTTGGCAGCCGCTCGGTGCATTTGAAAGAGAGAATATCGGAGTGACCGACTGTGGAGTGTTATCTAAAGTTTGAGGCCTTTGCTTTTGTTATATCTTCTTCTTTTCGCACCGATAAAAATTGTAGAAAGAAATATAGAGAGCTCTATTTACCGAAGGCACAATTATTGAAGTCCCACGAAGTCGGTGCCGACTGCGACGCCGCTGCCAGAAAAAAAAAATATATATAAGTATATATATCATGATCATTGAGGGAGGGTTCTCGGGTTCGAGTTCGGGATCGCTGGGATTAGTCTTTGGGACGCTCGTTGCCAGTGAAGATCGCGGCGAGGAAGTGTCCAAAAATTAAAATCACAAAATCGAAATCCTCAAATTACTTACCGTGCGCCTCCGCTTGAGGTAAAGTTTTATTCAATAATAATAATAAAATTAATTACGTATATATAGTGATTTAGTCATAATTTTATAATTTCTTGCGCAATGAAATGGATAAAATATATAAAGACAATTAAGCCATGCTGATTAAGTGCAGCTTAAAAACAAATTGATTCACCGCATTAACTGATATTCAATATAAACAGAAAACGAGAAGGGCAAAAAAAAGATATAAAAAAATGTGAGAGTTTAAGTCGCATAATTAATTCGTTTATGCAGACTCGGCAAAAAATGTTTATGCATATTCACCAGCAACAACAATAACTTCGAACTTTGAAATCACTGCGCATTCAAATGAATAGGCCATTTAATATTTATTTATATGTATATTTGTTGAACTCTTTGTTGTGATTTTTTAAAGAGAGTCAACAGCGTGTTTTACCAGCTGATTTTATATTTATCAGTTCAGTTTGGTCTATTTTGTCAACTTCGACTCTCTTAAAGATTGCTTTGGCGTCTCTTAAAAAACTATTTATGTTCGGGAGCGTGTCGTATAATATGTATATTTTATTATCTCTGATTAATATGCTGAAAGAGCCCGCAGATTTGTCTCTGTTGTTGTTCCAGTTATACAGATTGCTTAGGATTAATAAATACTCTGGGTTCCATTTGTTAAGAGCAGTGTATCTTGATAAACTATTCATTAAATTGATTGAATACTAAAGGAAATAAATCAGGTCTTTTTTAATGACAACTATAATTTTATATTATTATATATACATATGTGTAGTTTTATACTTTTTCTTTCCCACTGTTCTATCCCTGAACTTGAAAAGTTTTTACTTTGTTTATTTATTACTGTACAAGTTCTATTTCTAGTCGCACACTCTCCTCTAAAACAAGATGTTTAGGCAAATATTTACAGGCAACAGACATTATTTACGCAAGGCAATAATTGCCTTTAGATTTGCTTGGAATAGTACGACATTAATGGCTTTGCATTCCGTAAATAGGCAGTAATTAAATTATTTCGGTTGGGTCTGACGCAACGCAGAGAAAGAGAGAGAGGTCTGGCTCGATGATCCCATAAAGATTAAACGCATATAGATTGCATATTTTCGAGTCATTCATTGATTAGTCGAATCGATTATCGGTCAGGGGTGTGTGCTGATCGCATAAGGTGATTCGATCCCAGGTGAAGTGGTTTGAACTAACTGGAAGTGCCTTTTGGGTTTTATGGAGCTCACTTCCGTACATATAACCCTAGATTGCACGGGTGCTTTTTGTAAACTTTTATTATAGGGGATTATTACCACGACAGGCCTTATGAATGATTTGCTGTTTGTACAGAAATGAATGAATAATGCTGCCCCTTTTTTAGGATATAGTCTTAAACTTCTTTATTCTTTTGTTTCCTAATTTGATTCTTTTAATTAATTTAAATAACTTAGCGGTAACTTAGATCTAGTACCTCCTGACCTGGCTGCGTTGTGGCTGTATATACATTCAGCTTAATATTGTCGTCAAACATATTTGTATCTATGCCATTTATTTCGGCCTCAAAGGTTTCCTGTAAATCGGGGAAACATATATTACAAAGTCCTTTAAATATATGTATATATTATATCACTCACCGGTGGCATTGTTTCTTGATATTCGCTCTCGGCTTTCAGGAAAGCAGCCACACTCTCGTTGACTTCGGTCTTGTTCTTTTCACTAAAATGCGACTCTATATCCTCCGTTGTGATTGGTCTGTGAATTCTACGGATCCTCTCGCGTTCATAGTCAATCCTCAACTTGATCGCCTCCAGCATGGTAATGGGATCCACGGGAAAGGGTTTGGCCGGAATGGAACCGGGGAAGGCAATGTCAAACGCGAACTCATTGAAATTCTCATTGCCGTTAAGGGTGGCCTGGATAGCGCCAGGACTTGTGCGATCCTTGACCAAAGCATCCATAAATTCTGCCTGCGTGCGCTCAGCCAGATAATCCTCAGCTGTTAAATGATGTTTCTATTTGAATTCTAAGATTCCACTTGAATTAAAATTAAAAACTTACGGGTCTTGTTGGAATACATTTTTCCAGATCGTCCTTCCCAATCACTATTTTGATTGGTTTTGTCTAAACGGGTTTCCTAAAACAAACTTAAGTCATTTTAATAAAAGAATAAATTGATTTGTAGAAAATTTACATTCATGCTAGATCTTGCCAACATAGCACCCGATACGTTTGTATAAGGTGGACTTCTGCAACAATTTGTATCTTCAGGATAGAAATCATTTTCCTCCATGTCCATGTTTGTATTATTTGCACAGCGTGTTGTGCAGCGACTTTTGTACTTTAAAGGAGACAAAGATCGAGATCTTTGACTCACTTGGCACGGTGGATTAATTGATGAATTCTCATGACATTTTGCTTGGGACTGGATGTATTCGTCTAATAATTATTTAAATCTTTAATTGATAGTTGTACTTACATTTGGACACTGCCTTTTATTTATATTTGGTCTGCATGGTACCTCTGGCAGGTCCAAATAGCTTGTCTCATTTATGATCGTTTCATATTTCTTTTAATTGGGAAAATATTAATTTAAGTAAAGTTAAAAAATATTTTATAAATTAAATATCTTACCTGTGGTTTCTTTCTATACATTGGCGAGCATTGACGCTAATTTTAGAGAACGTATAGATTATATTTATAATTAATTTTAAATAGTGACGTATTAATACTTCTTACCTGAAGTTGTTGGCGCTCTATTTGTGAGGAATCACACTGAGTTTAAAGAAGGAAAATTATATATTATAAAACATAAATATTATTTAATATAAAATGTAGTTACCTGAGCTGCTCGGCGTGGTATTTGCGGGGTCTCATACTAGATTTAAAATTAAAGGAAATTAATTAAATATATAATATCCAATACAAATTTTTAAAGCAATGAAAATTTCTTAATATAAATATGGACTTACATTAAATAACTTTTAATAATAACTTACACTTTGCGAACTGCAAGTATTGTTGCAAGATGCATATCGCTTACGCATTGGCGGTTGAGGACGTTGTTTTCTAGATTTTTGGTAACGTTTCTCTTCGTCAATCATAGTGCTATTTAAATCGGGTTCCTATTGAATTCATTTAAATTCCATAATAATATAGATTTAATTAATTTTTAATTAATAAATACTTACAAATCCAGAGATTTCATTGTCGTCCAAAGCAGTCATATCATAATCATTAGATTGCTGCTGGCGGTAAGAGCATTGCCGTTGTTGATGATGTTGCTGCTGTTGCTGTCGTGATTGCTGCTGCTGTTGTTGCATTTGTCGCCTCTGCCATTCGCCATAATTAGTGCCAACCTGAGAGCTATTGTTCCAATTGTCAGTAGCATTACTTCTTGATCTCCTATCAGGAACATAGTTACTAGTATTTCGTGTAGGTACATCGCCCTCGTACTTATTTGGGGAAAAGGTAAAGAAATGTATTATATAGAAGTATATTTTTTGAAACATCTATACTCACCTGATTGTGGTCAGAACAGCAACCTCGTTGTTGATTTGTTGTTTCCTGCCCCTAAAAGTCATCATTGTAAAGAGGTTTATTTAAAAATTAAAACCACTCACTGCATTTAGACTCCTAGGCACTTGAAAATCGTATCTTTCTGAGGCATTATGTCTATCGTTCGGCTTGGGAACACTTCGAGATCTTGAACATCTATGCTGAGATCGGTTCCTTTGAGCTTGTTGTTGATAAGAACGCTTTAATTGTTGGCGAAGTTCTTGATCTTGGTATGAATATACCGGAGGCTTCTCTTCGTGAAACGGTGGATCGTTCGAGCATTTTGACGGGTTGCAGCCGCTCTATATAACAAGTATTTAAAGTAAGAAGAAATTGAGGAACTTGGAAGAACCCGAGTACTCACAACGTCCTTATCCTTGCTACAGCTTGGCGAAAGCTGAGAGGCAGTATATATAGAACTAATAATTCTAGAGTTTATCCAATATATTCTTACCTTTCCCTGGGCTGCTGACGGAGGGTTGTGTCTGTTGGCTGAGCCATTGGTCGAGCACTTACAACCAACTTCTTCCTGGTTCGCGTCACGTTGCATCGGGAACTGGGGGTCTATGGATCTGGATCTAGATCTAGGTTTGTAACTATCAATGGATCTAGGCTCGTCGCTGTCGTTATAGCGCTTCCGCAGGAGGGTTTCCTTGCAGATTTCAGAATCAGAGTCGTTGATGTTAGAATTCAGAAAGTGACTTAGTGCAACCAACACCTCATCGGGCAGCGAAACAGCGTTTCTAACGTAGTCCATTCACACAGGGAAAAGAGGAGTGCATAAAACACCTGCTTATATATATTCAAATCTTTTGAATACCTTTTCTTCACTACTTACATGAATTCGAATAGAGTTTTGGTACAGCTTGAGTCAGGAGTTCCGAACAATTTTGTGTGCTAACTTTTAAGATTTAAAGTTTTGTCGAAAGGTATAATGCAAAATACGAATTGCACTAACCACTAAAAAAGTTTTACTAACATATTATCGAAAATAGGAATAAAAAGTATAGGATGTTATTTTTGGGAATTTTTTTGATAAAATAATATATTTCATGCATGCAGAAATAGACAGGTAAATTCAAGCTTGCTAGGTTGCTTTTTTTGGTATTTGGAAATGGGGATTTTATATATCGCGGGGGAAGTATAATATTTTGAAATAAGAAATAAAGGAATAATATTTAATTTCACACACGTCAGGTCTCACTGATATCTGAAATACAAATAAATAAAAACACTTCCTTTTTGATGTTTTGGTAATGTTGTTAACGATTTTATTTCATTTAATATATATAAAATTACACAAAATACTAATTCTATGTATGTATAATATATTTTTTATAATTTCTTGGCGAAAATGATTTTCTAACATCCTAAGAAATTAATTTAATTTGCTATTCGGTGCCCACTATCATCAGCAATCGCAATCTCTCCACCATCCATTATCATCATTGTCCCTGGCTGGGATGGTAATCCCTCATCGCCATCCTCATCTCTCCGGTGCCCACTTCCACTTCCGTTTGTTCATTAGGCAAATGCAGCAATTCCAGCTCGACAAACGCCAAATCGTTTGTCTCAGCCGTATCCGTATCCGTCATTTTGGGGCAATGGGAATGGGAACTGAAATGGGAAAGTGAGTGGGAGTGGCACTGGTGGAGGGAGGATGCGGAGGAGGTGGAGCAGGCGTCATGCCAAACGGAAACGCTGTGGCATCCGTTGGATTGCCTCAAGTGGGCGCTCAGCTGGGCGAGGAATGTGGGCGTGGCATGTGCGTTACGCGTGAAATCCAATTCCCGCAGACTCTGCTCCTGCGAGGCAATGAAGGGCAGAAGGGAGAGCACCGCCTGCGGTCGCTGTGGCCGCCACCTGATGCTCCCATCCGCGACATCATAGTGCACCGTCAGCTGCGAGTGCCAGGCAAAGTGCCGCAGCCGGAGCACATCCGTGAACGCAGATGCAGATGGCAGGCTGTCATCCAGGCGACACTGCAAGCGGAGACCCACAATGTGACAGTGGCCCCGAGCAGTGCCAAGTTCCCTTAGGCAAGCGTTCAGAGTTCCTATCCCAGAGCTACTGGCATTTGCTTTGTCACCATCATCACTATCCTTAAAACGTTCAGAACTCCGACACAGAAAGCCTGTCAATAGCCGAAGGCGCACTAATGTGAAGATCCTGGCAATGGAGGAGTTTAGCAGGCAGGCGGGCAGCTTTAGGATCTCCAGGTTTGGGGGAAACTGCAATAGAGAAAGTATTTTAATCATGATCATCATGGTATAACCTAGGGGGAAAATATTATCTTACATTTCTAAGAGTGCCGTGCTTCTCGCAATCTTCAATAGACCTCAGTTCGAAGGCTCTAAGGTTGGGGAGTTTTTCAAATAATACATTTAAGTCTTTGCTAGTTAAATGCTCTCCTTCACCCAGTCTCAACTCCATCAGATTCGAGCACATTATAGGTACTGTCTGTATCACTAAGATATCACTTTTGCGGAAGCTAAGCCTTTGGAGGTGAGTGAGCTGACACCTCCTTCTCTGCCTCTGTTTGAGCCACTTCCTGCAGCCTTCATCACTGGAGCCCGGCAGATTGAGCAGAGCTCTGGTACGGTTGCCCAGGAGATCCAAGAGTTGAGTCAGCTCATCAGGACTCAGCTGCTTCAATTGTCGCCTGTCCCGGTTCCAATCAAATTGCTTGGCATACTTGCCACACCACAGGCGGAGCACCAAGTGGCAAAGGCGCTCCTCCTGCAGCTGCAACAACCGCAGCTGGTCGCCCAGGGATAACTGTTCGCAAATCAACAGCAGGCAGTCATCGTTCAGGGCCGTCAATCGGAGTCCAAGTTCGAATCCGATTGTTGGATTAAGTTTGAGATTCCTTGGTGGCTCTGGCTTTGGATGGCCAATGGTTACCGCCGTCCTGAAGCGCATCCCACTCGATCTGCGGCGACGTTGCGACTGAGCAGGAAACGCGTGCCATGTGACAGCGAATGGCGGTGGGTGATGTCTGGACTGCATATTGAACCCCCGGAATCGGAGGAATCGGAATCAGTGTTGGCTTCAGCGGTTGCAAGCAATCGCAGCTGGCGGTGCGTACAACTACAACAACAGCCCAGCAGTGCAACGCACACAGACGCCTGTGTCACTTCATTGATTACCGCAGATCCAAAGGCACAGTGGGATGCGATGGGATAAGAACTGTTTAAAAAAATATATATATTTATATAACTCATAGATGTCTGTTAATGTTTTTCGAACAATGTGTTTAAGCATCTCAGGTTTGGCATAAATAAAATAACGGAGAGCCTTAGCAAAACTGTTCAGTATCCGCAAAATCTTAGCTAGCTTATCACTTTTTATACTTTTTAAATTCAATAGAATACTTTATAGTTCTTTACTTATCTTATGGTTATTTTTATATTTATAATCCCTCTAACCACTGTACAACCTCATATACCTCCCCCTTTGGCGACAACGCTCCTGGTGGTTGAGTGTATTCCGCTCTGAAAATAAATGCAACCCCTAGTTGACGAAAATAAAAGGAAGAGAGCTCTCCCACTGTTTCAGGGTGCGGGAGTTTTTCAGTTCAACAACTCTCTTTGGCGATAATGCAGTATAAGTAGTATTCGTATTATCACTGGATGAGCGGAAGACAAAGAATTTGAGAGAAAGAGAGAGAGTTGGGCTATTTTTATAAAAACTCCCCAACACATGTGGCCAAGGCCAAGGCGAGGCAACGATATAGTTACTATATACCAAAATATTCCGATTTGACAGTTTGTGGTAGGCAGGGAGGCCAAACTTCAAGTGGTTTGAGAAATAATAGAAATAATCAAATCTGAAAGCAAACAAATCACTATTTGTTGGTCACTGATAATCTGATGATCGTAAACAAAAAGCTGTCGTTATGATACGGAGATCTTTGTACCCTCCAGAAACAAATAATTCACACGATTGGGTTCTTTTCCCTCAAAGTATAAGTTTAAATTTTCATACAACTAGAGCCATCGGAATTATATTATAAACAAACTTCAGAGGTTTGCTTTTAAAATAGAAAAGGACTCAATATTAATATTATTTTATGGAATATTGAAAAATTCAATGTTAAGTTATATTTTTTTATGATGAATGACTTGAATGACCCCAAATAATAGTTTTCTTTCACAGTTTTTATAACCTTGCTGGGAGTTATAATTTCAGGATGAAGTTGAAAACTCATTGAAGTAATCTTGACCCTATAAACTATATATTCTTGATCAGCATCAACAGCTGAATCCATTTAGACATGTCTCGAAGAAAAGTACATTTTTCAAAATTTTTCGAAATTTAAAATTTTATAAGGGGTTACATCGTTAAAATTGTCAAAATTTGATAAAAAATTGAATTTTTTATATTTTAAAATAAAGTATGAAAATTTGTTACCCTTTTAAAAACTAGTACAGAAAATCTTTCCGAATTAAAATTAATGAATTTTTGGCTTAATTATGATATTCGAAAAAATGTGATTTACCCAAAATTATTACATAAAAATATCGATTTAAGACAATGATTGCCAAAAGCCATATACATATGTATATATTTCAATTTCAAACCAAAATCCTTACCCTAACCTTTTTCTTATTTTTTATACCAACTTACCAATGCTTTATAAGTCAAGTTCGACTGAATTCAAATTTGTCTAATAGGCTTTCTATAATTTTTTTCGGAAAGAATGAAATCTAGTTAAGGAAAATTTAAAATTAAAATACAAACTCTTTTCGATCCCAAAATTTGTTGTTGCCATGGCAAACAAAAGCGAGCCACCGCAGGATGCACTCACACCTCCGCCATCTCAAATTCCTGCTCCTCCGTCTGCTCCTGTGGCTCCGGTAAGGGTCATCAACCTGGAGACGCAGATCAGTGAGGACGAGAGTCGACAGCAAACAGTCTATAGCAGAGTATGGTTTCATCTGGGATTTGTCCTGATGCTGTGCATTATCTTCGTGCTGCTCTTCTGCTCGGCCACACTCCTCGTCAGGGAAATGGGGGCCTCAGAGTCCTCGGAGAATATCACCAAACTTAGGGAAATATACCTACAAAGAGAGCGTCAGCGGCGTTTGGGCAACCGAATCCAGCTGAGTCCCCTGGAGGAGGTGGCAAATGCACGCCTGATGGCCATCAAACAGGTGGACGAAGAGGAGCACCGACTATGGGAGAGCTACCACAACGGACCGCCACCGTTCCTAAACCATCGTAACATCAGCGACACGGATCTCTATGCGCTGCTCAGGACCATGCCCAAGGGTGGACTCCTCCATGTCCATGACTCGGGAATGCTGCGAACGGATATTCTCATAGAATTGACCAAGAGCGATTACCTGTGGGTGTGCGTGAATTTGGATCAGGAGTTCGAGGACTTTCGCTTCTCCCAATTATTTCCGAAGATTATGCCGTCGGACGATTACCAGTGCTCGTGGATGCTGATGAAGAACTTCTACGAGTACGAGCATCCCAACAAATATGTGACCAAGCTGCGGGAGTCTCTTAGTGTCCCTCAGAAGGGTTTTGCGTCATCCGGAGAGCTGGCGAGGCATTTGAAGCGTTCTCAGCGGCTCATCCATGGCCTGATCACATATAAGCCGCTTTGGAACAACTTCCTCTACTCCATGCTGCAGGATCTCTATGCCGATGGGGTGCAATATGTAGAGATGCGATCCTCGTTGCCAATAGTAAGTGGGGAAATCATAAAAATTAGCCAAAGAAACTGTTTGTAGACCTTAATCCTTGCCTAGCTGTACGATATGGAGGGCAATGATTATACCATTTTGGACTCGGCTCAGGCCATGGTGACCGTGTCTAACATGTTCCAGTCCAACTATAGGGATTTCATTGGGATCAAGTTGATCTATGCACCTTCTCGTGACTTTAATGACAGTCGAATGAATAGCTATATGGCCAATGCAATTCTCCTAAAGGTAGTTCAATATGATATATAATATTTAATACAAATAATTTATCCTTCTATTCAAATGTTAGACGCATTTTCCCCAACTCCTTGCTGGCTTCGATTTGGAGACCCATGGCAATGAGTGTGATCTGCCCTCTTGAGTCACATCTCACAGCTCTCACAGTTGGGCAAGAATGTGGACTTTTATTTCCATGCGGGGGATTCACGGTGTCCGGAAAATACTCGACCGGATGTGAATCTCATCGATGCCATGCTGCTGGGCAGCAAGAGGATTGGAAACTCACTGAACCTACCTCTACATTCGGAGGTCATGCAGGCCCTGCAGTTCCTGAATGTGGCCGTTGAGGTCTGTCCCCTTTCCAATCACTATTTGGAGTATGTCAACGACTTCCGGAATCATCCGGCGGTGTATCTCATTGCCGCTGGCTTTCCCATTGTGATCGGTTCGGATTATCCGTATTTGTGGAACGCTGCCCCTCTGACCGATGACTTCTATGTGACCTTTGTGGGCATGGTCGGTGGTGATGGAAATCTACGCCTGCTCAAGCAGCTGGCCAAGAACTCACTCTTATATAGTTCTCTCAACGGCATTGAGAAGGCAAGGGCCATGGCCAAGTGGCGTTGCAATTGGAATCGCTGGATCAAGAATTTTTTGAACCGTACTGAATATCTAGAATGAGAGTCTGGAGGAGAGTGCTGAATACAACTTGTGTGGAGTGTAGGAAAAATTTTGGTATCAAAAAAGATTAAACTCGGGGCGGAAATAAAGATATGTCTTGGGTAGAATCAGGAACAGGAATATATTTGGATTTAAAAGATAAGATAGTTAAGTTCTCAATTAAGAGATTCTTGATGGATATAAGATCACAGAACTCTCCTGTGTATTAAATATCAATTTCTGGGCTGTAGAATCTAATGTCCAATTGGATTTCACACTCCGGAATGAGGCTTGTGGCGCACTCATAGCTTTCCGGTTATTTAGAGTGCACTATAAAGTGCTTCAACATTCGAAAGGGGCAATGAAAACTGGGATCTGACCATGCTCACGGCCAGGGATAGGTAATCTAATCTAGGAGAAGGCAACTCGTAAATCAAGATGCCAGATTGCCTAGCGTTTGACGACGATTAGCAGCCTGAGGGTTAGCGGCGGCAGGTTGGCAACTCAACCCCGTGGGTCATCCACGCGCAACTATCGGCTCGGGAACACGCGTTAAATCAACGGTAATGTCCAACGAATCCTACACAATCGTTTCAGATAATATTCGAATAGCGACAAAGCCCAAATCGGAGCTCCTCAATTGTCGCAGACGTCAGTCGCCGTGCGAACCTTGTCGCGATCGGACCTGTGTAAGCGGAATCAACCCGGAGAACTACCAATATCGTCATCATTATCACCATGCTGCTGGTGCCTAATCTTATCGCCGGTCTCTCCGTGGGCCTATGCGTCTGCCTTTGCTTTGGACCGGGTCCGGTGGAATCGCGAACGCATCCCAAGAACTTGGTGGATAAGAAACTGGTCACAATCTATGGCAGCACACCGCATGTGGAGGCACTTCTCGGACCCGGACGTCCCACGCCTGATACCTACAAGACGCTGAGGAGCGCCTTCTTCCGTTACGAAGAGTCGCGCTCCTTGGGTCATGATCTGGAGCTAACCTCGCGAGAAATCAAAGCCAATGAGACAATCATGAAGGCTAAGCTTCATGAGTACACGGAGGGTTTGATCACGCCGCATCTCTTCAATCCCGCTCAGCATATCTTTGATGTTTTGGAGGGCATTCAGAAGACCGATCTGTTCCAACTGCTAAAGAAGATGCCCAAGGGAGCTGTGCTCCATGCCCATGACACGGCTTTGTGCAGCACCAAGGCCATCCTGAAGCTGACCTACTACGATGATCTTTATGCCTGCCAGCAGAATGGAGATTTGGCCATCTCGGCTCTCAGGTTTGCCAAGGAGCCGCAAATGGATCGACCGGACTGCAAGTGGAGTCTACTGAGTGAGCTGCGATCAAAGTATACAGCCCAAAGGGTAGATGAGTATCTGGAGGAGCGCCTCACCCTGTATCCCACGAAGAAGTTTGAGGATAACAACGCGGCATGGTCTACCTTTATGACCATTTTCGAGTTGCTCGATGGCCTGGTGATGTACGCTCCCGTTTGGGCAGATTACTACTACAGCGCCTTGGAAGAGTTCTACGAGGATGGAGTCCTGTATCTGGAGTTCCGTTCTCTGGTGCCAACGGTAAGTGGTTTCTCTGTGAATATTTTATGATATAGAATTTCATATTTTACATATCCTGCAGCTCTACGACATGGAGGGCACTCAGTACACTCCCATGGACACCGTTCGCATCTATGTGGAGACTTTGGAGAAGTTCAAGGATGCCCATCCTGATTTCATTGGCTCCCGTATGATCTACGCTCCTCTGCGCAATACAAATTCCCAGGGAATGACTGAGTATATTGATACACTGAAGAAGATCCAGGTGAGCATACTTAAATGCTTTCATATGAAAAGTATTTTATGAATTTCATACTCCACCGGCAGGCTACATATCCCGACTTTGTGGCCGGTTTCGATTTGGTGGGCCAGGAGGAGCTTGGACGTCCTCTGAAGGATTACATTGATGAGCTGCTGGCTGTGCCGGAGGATATTGACTTCTATTTCCATGCGGGTGAGACCAACTGGTTTGGCTCCACCGTTGACGAGAACTTGATTGATGCCATTTTGCTGGGAACCAAGAGGATTGGCCATGGTTTTGGACTGGTCAAGCATCCGGTGGTGCTGGACATGCTGAAGAAGCTGAATGTGGCCATCGAGGTGAACCCGATCTCGAACCAGGTGCTCCAGCTGGTCACAGACTTCCGGAACCATCCCTGTTCGCACTACTTCGCCGATGGCTATCCAGTGGTGATCTCCTCGGATGATCCATCCTTCTGGAAGGCCACTCCCTTGACCCATGACTTCTACATTGCCTTCCTTGGCATCGCCTCGCAGCACTCGGATTTGAGGCTCCTCAAGAAGCTAGCCCTCAACTCCATCCAGTATAGTTCGTTGTCGGGAGATGCTCAGTTCGAGGCCCTGGAGAAGTGGCAGGTGAAGTGGGATCAGTTCATCGCCGATGTCAACGAGGAGGCCTCCAATGGGGTGGCCTCATTCCAAAAGATCGATTGACTAGCACGGGTGGTGACGGCGCTCCTGGTCGTGTTCTCTGTCCTCAGGCGCTAGTCGGTCCTCCGTTTCGCATCCTCACACTACTGCATCCTCATCATCCCCGAGCCATGTCCATGCCAAACATCCAGTATCTATCCAATATCGTATTGCTCCGATATCGTTGTAAGCTAATTACTATGGATTAGTCAATAGTTAGACCTAAGACCTAACTCCCCCGATGAGATTCTTCCTGTGTCACGACCATAAATATGGAAAGCAATAAAGAACCCGTTTTTGGTCGTAGCCGAAAATGAAAGTGTATGCAATTTATGGTATAGAAGCGGGCCTAATCCTAATAAGAAGGCATCGTGAAATGCGTTCGTGTACAGCTATTCAAGGGTTATAGTTTAGGCCTAGGATTCCGCAAAACAGAGCAGCCTAGTTCCCATAGATCCCAATTCTCGTTACCATAATCCTTAGTTTGCATTCACGCCGCCATTTCCAACGCAGGACGAGGAGTGCACTCCAAGGCTTCTACTTCGCTCGCATAAATCTCTCATTGCCTTTGGCTGTGCGTCGTCGAGTGGATGCGAAATTTTAATGAATATGCGCTATATGGTCGTTGAGGCACCCCTAAAAACCACCAACCGTTCGTCACACGGTCGGTATGTAGCTCCTTTGAGCTCTGAAACTGTTGCAAATGTTTCAATTTTACGTGCCACTGTTTAGTGCCATGGCTGCCGGGTGGAGGTAGCAGAATTCGTTCGATTTTGATTCGGTTGCCAGCCGTAATGAGCTGGCTGGAGTTTTATGGGGCCAGCGGTGGATGCAGCCAGGTTTCAGCCCCCATCTGATATGTATGTGCGACCATAAAATTGATGGCATGGCTGCGAGCCAGGACATGTGCGAGGTCGACAGTGTTGGCAAAGAAAACTAAACAAAAATCGAACAAAAACAAAAGAATAAATACAACAAGAAACAAAGCTAGTTTCGAAAAGCCGAAGTATACCATAGAAGTTTGCCTTAGCATGAAATTGATCATAACTATGACTAAAATGCATATTCTTAAACGATAATTTTTTAATAAATCAACATTTTTAAATAAAACAATTAAACCAAAAAATGCATTAATTTTAATTCGGAAAGCTTTGCGGTGCTAGTTTTTATTGCACTAACAAATCTGCCTACTGCGTTTGTTGATGCTGTTCTCAGTTTTTGACTAAAATCATAAAAACCAGCAAAAAGGTATAAAAACAGACAATTTTGCCCAAAAATCATAGTTTCAAAAAACTCATAACTAAGCCAAAAAATCATTAATTTGAATTCGGAAAGCTGTTCTATGCAAGTTTTTAGTAGATTAACAAAGCTGCATACTCAGTTTTTAAATTTAAAAAATGCAATATTTTGTCAAATTTTGGCCATTTTCATGATGTAACCCCTTATAAAATTTTAAATTTTCGGAAAAATGTCAAAAATTTATTTTTTGACCGGACATGGCCAGAACGACTGGGCTGTTGATGCTGATCAAGAATATATATGATTTATAGGGTCGGAAATGACTCCTTCACTTTCTTTCAAGCTTCTGACTTAAGTCATATTCTTCAAAAAGGTATAAAAACGCACCATTTTTTAAAAGAGTCTAAGTTTTTCGGACATCATAATTAAGCCGAAATTGGATTAATTTTAATTCGGAAAGCTGTTCTGTGCTAGTTTTTATTGCACTAACAAATCTGCATACTGCGTTTGTTGATGCTGTTGTCAGTTTTTGATTAAAATCATAAAAACCAGCAAAAAGTATAAAAACAGACAATTTTTCGCAAAAACCATAGTTTAAAAAAACTCATTACTAAGCCAAAAAATCATTAATTTGAATTCGGAAAGCTGTTCTATGCAAGTTTTTAGTAGATTAACAAAGCTGCATACTCAGTTTTTAAATTTAAAAAATTCAATATTTTGTCAAATTTTGGCCATTTTCATGATGTAACCCCTTATAAAATTTTAAATTTTCGGAAAAATGTAAAAAATTTATTTTTTGACCGGACATGGCCAGAACGACTGGGCTGTTGATGCTGATCAAGAATATATATGATTTATAGGGTCGGAAATGACTCCTTCACTTACTTTCAAGCTTCTGACTTAAGTCATATTCTTCAAAAAGGTATAAAAACACACCATTTTTTAAAAAAGTCTAAGTTTTTCGGACATCATAATTAAGCCGAAATTAGATTAATTTTAATTCGGAAAGCTGTTCTGTGCTAGTTCTTATTGCACTAACAAATCTGCATACTGCGTTTGTTGATGCTGTTGTCAGTTTTTGATTAAAATCATAAAAACCAGCAAAAAGGTATAAAAACAGACAATTTTTCGCAAAAATCATAGTTTAAAAAAACTCATAACTAAGCCAAAAAATCATTAATTTGAATTCGGAAAGCTGTTCTATGCAAGTTTTTAGTAGATTAATAAAGCTGCATACTCAGTTTTTAAATTTAAAAAATTCAATTTTTGTCAAATTTTGGCCATTTTCATGATATGAAAAATTTTCAATTTTCGGAAAAATGTCAAAAATTTATTTTTGACCGGACATGGCCAGAACGACTGGGCTGTTGATGCTGATCAAGAATATATATGATTTATAGGGTCGGAAATGACTCCTTCATTTTCTTTCAAGCTTCTGACTTAAGTCATATTCTTCAAAAAGGTATAAAAACGCACCATTTTTTAAAAGAGTCTAAGTTTTTCGGACATCATAATTAACCCGAAATTGGATTAATTTTAATTCGGAAAGCTGTTCTGTGCTAGTTTTTATTGCACTAACAAATCTGCATACTGCGTTTGTTGATGCTGTTGTCAGTTTTTGATTAAAATCATAAAAACCAGCAAAAAGGTATAAAAACAGAAAATTTTTCGCCAAAATCATAGTTTAAAAAAACTCATAACTAAGCCAAAAAATCATTAATTTGAATTCGGAAAGCTGTTCTATGCAAGTTTTTAGTAGATTAACAAAGCTGCATACTCAGTTTTTAAATTTAAAAAATTCAATATTTTGTCAAATTTTGGCCATTTTCATGATGTAACCCCTTATAAAATTTTAAATTTTCGGAAAAATGTCAAAAATTTATTTTTTGACCGGACATGGCCAGAACGACTGGGCTGTTGATGCTGATCAAGAATATATATGATTTATAGGGTCGGAAATGACTCCTTCACTTTCTTTCAAGCTTCTGACTTAAGTCATATTCTTCAAAAAGGTATAAAAACGCACCATTTTTTAAAAGAGTCTAAGTTTTTCGGACATCATAATTAAGCCGAAATTGGATTAATTTTAATTCGGAAAGCTGTTCTGTGCTAGTTTTTATTGCACTAACAAATCTGCATACTGCGTTTGTTGATGCTGTTGTCAGTTTTTGATTATAATCATAAAAACCAGCAAAAAGGTATAAAAACAGACAATTTTTCCCAAAAATCATAATTTCAAAAAACTCATTACTAAGCCAAAAAATCATTAATTTGAATTCGGAAAGCTGTTCTATGCAAGTTTTTAGTAGATTAACAAAGCTGCATACTCAGTTTTTAAATTTAAAAAATTCAATATTTTGTCAAATTTTGGCCATTTTCATGATGTAACCCCTTATAAAATTTTCAATTTTCGGAAAAATGTAAAAAATTTATTTTTTGACCGGACATGGCCAGAACGACTGGGCTGTTGATGCTGATCAATAATATATATGATTTATAGGGTCGGAAATGACTCCTTCACTTTCTTTCAAGCTTCTGACTTAAGTCATATTCTTCAAAAAGGTATAAAAACGCACCATTTTTTAAAAGAGTCTAAGTTTTTCGGACATCATAATTAAGCCGAAATTGGATTAATTTTAATTCGGAAAGCTGTTCTGTGCTAGTTTTTATTGCACTAACAAATCTGCATACTGCGTTTGTTGATGCTGTTGTCAGTTTTTGATTAAAATCATAAAAACCAGCAAAAAGGTATAAAAACAGACAATTTTTCGCAAAAACCATAGTTTAAAAAAACTCATAACTAAGCCAAAAAATCATTAATTTGAATTCGGAAAGCTGTTCTATGCAAGTTTTTAGTAGATTAACAAAGCTGCATACTCAGTTTTTAAATTTAAAAAATTCAATATTTTGTCAAATTTTGGCCATTTTCATGATATGAAAAATTTTCAATTTTCGGAAAAATGTCAAAAATTTATTTTTTGACCGGACATGGCCAGAACGACTGGGCTGTTGATGCTGATCAAGAATATATATGATTTATAGGGTCGGAAATGACTCCTTCACTTTCTTTCAAGCTTCTGACTTAAGTCATATTCTTCAAAAAGGTATAAAAACGCACCATTTTTTAAAAGAGTCTAAGTTTTTCGGACATCATAATTAAGCCGAAATTGGATTAATTTTAATTCGGAAAGCTGTTCTGTGCTAGTTTTTATTGCACTAACAAATCTGCATACTGCGTTTGTTGATGCTGTTGTCAGTTTTTGATTAAAATCATAAAAACCAGCAAAAAGGTATAAAAACAGACAATTTTTCGCAAAAACCATAGTTTAAAAAAACTCATAACTAAGCCAAAAAATCATTAATTTGAATTCGGAAAGCTGTTCTATGCAAGTTTTTAGTAGATTAACAAAGCTGCATACTCAGTTTTTAAATTTAAAAAATTCAATATTTTGTCCAATTTTGGCCATTTTCATGATGTAACCCTTATAAAATTTTAAATTTTCGGAAAAATGTCAAAAATTTATTTTTTGACCGGACATGGCCAGAACGACTGGGCTGTTGATGCTGATCAAGAATATATATGATTTATAGGGTCGGAAATGACTCCTTCACTTTCTTTCAAGCTTCTGACTTAAGTCATATTCTTCAAAAAGGTATAAAAACGCACCATTTTTTAAAAGAGTCTAAGTTTTTCGGACATCATAATTAAGCCGAAATTGGATTAATTTTAATTCGGAAAGCTGTTCTGTGCTAGTTTTTATTGCACTAACAAATCTGCATACTGCGTTTGTTGATGCTGTTGTCAGTTTTTGATTATAATCATAAAAACCAGCAAAAAGGTATAAAAACAGACAATTTTTCCCAAAAATCATAATTTCAAAAAACTCATTACTAAGCCAAAAAATCATTAATTTGAATTCGGAAAGCTGTTCTATGCAAGTTTTTAGTAGATTAACAAAGCTGCATACTCAGTTTTTAAATTTAAAAAATTCAATATTTTGTCAAATTTTGGCCATTTTCATGATGTAACCCCTTATAAAATTTTAAATTTTCGGAAAAATGTAAAAAA